ATCTCTAAGATAACAAGGGTTGTTCCACTCCATTTTATGCTTCTCTAAAAACAACAATGCAAATTGAGTGAGTTTTAAAGAAAAAAGGTTTTATTTGGTCTCATAGTTCTCGTCCAAGATCAGGAGGCCACATGTGGTGGTGGCTTTCTTGCTGACAGAGTCCCAGTGTGACCAGGACATCACATGACAAAACATAGAGTATGAGAGACCCAGGCACACTGGTTTTTGTAGCAGACGCACTGCCAAGATAACCCACTGATCTGATAACCACATGGATAGATTAACCCATTCATGAGGGCAGACGCCAGTCACTGAATAAAAGTACCTGATCCCACCTTCTAATATCTCATTAATGAGGATTAAATTTCAACATGAGCGTCAAAAAATATTCAAACCATAGCAAGAGCCTAGGTCAGTGGTGGCAAACCTGTGGCACACGTGCCTCAGTGGGTTGTTTCAATGATACATTGAAAGCTCTAGAAGGTTCACCATCACTGGTTTGGTTGGTTGGTTGGTTGGCTGGTTGGTTGGTTGGTTGAGAGGCTGATTTTCTTGAGGTTTTTTGTACTTGCTTGAGTCTAGGAAAATGGTGGCTGTTTCTCCACTGCTTTGGCTATTTTAGTTCTCTTCCTTGGGCTGCATTAAACAGAGTCCTGTACTTTGAACTCTTCTCTCAGATCTGGTAGACTTTTTCCCAAAAACCTGATTAGAGGATTATACAAAAGGTGTTTCCGATTTAAGGGAGTGCTTACCTTCCGTAATAAGCCCTGAAAGTGAAACCCAGTCATCTCTATCTGGATGCTTCCTGGCTTCTCCTTGTCATATCAATTAGAAGAAGAAACAGCTCTAAGGTTGCAGGATCTCCGTTGTCCTTTGGAAATGATTGGGAACAGGAGCCTTTAGCAGAAAGACTTAGGCAGGGTCCTATTCCATTCCAAGAAAATATTGTCCATCTTCCCATGGGAATATTTTAAATACTATTATTGCTAATGAATACCAGTCATTCCCTTCAGTATCTCATGTTAGTGATACATGACTAATTCTGTGTCATCTCAAGACATCTCCCAGGTGAGGGGGTGGTTTAAAAAAAAAGGAAGTGAACTGTGTCTGGTTTCATTATGAGGCTGGGCTCATATCAGTCCCCATGCCCCTGGGGCAGGACACTGTGCAGAGCAGCAGTCCTGAAATCTGTTTCATCATTAAACATCCTCTTGTCTTAGATAGTTCTCAGTAGGGGAAATAAATAAATATGGTAAATATTTATTCAGCGTTTCCTCTCAGAATTTACTGAGGAAAGATTCAGTGCAGCATACACACTGAGCCAGTTCCTAAAGGATATTGTTTTCTGACTTAGTTTTCACCCTGTAAGCCCAGTACAGTTTCACGATAAAAAAAGAAAAATCCTTTGAGCACAGTTCTCTTTCTCCTTTGCCCTTGAGTGGATAAACAGAAGAAAAAAGAAAGAACTAGAGCTGGGTGAATTGACATTTAAGAATAGGAGTAAGTTCTAAGACCTACAATTGTATTTCCCCTCCCCCAAAAAATCACAAATCAAAATTGTGAGAAATAAAGTGCACTAGTAATACACAAAAGGTCTTGGAGGGTTTCAAGTTCATCCGAGTCAGTGTGAGGATGGAGCTGCCCAAACATAATGATATGTAGCCTGCCTTGTTAGACCAAGATCATAGTTCTGTCAGCTCCTCACTGTTAAGATTGCCCTGTATTTGGAATCACACTTTGATGTATATATTGGCAAGTGTGTTGTTGGTTACAGTGTGGTGTTAAATTGAAATGATTATCTTTAAATTTAGACCTCAAAGGTTTTTTTCAGAGAATATTAACCCAATGCAGTGATAGTGAGAGGACATGAAACGATGTCAAACCAAGTGACATTTAAAGGAAGTGGAAACAGTTACCTAGAGAGAAGGTTTGGGGGAAAGAACTCACACGCTTTGCTCCCTAATACCTTTATAGTCCTGTCCTTGCTCTGCCTTCTCTAGAGGGCAGACCCACGTTTTTAGGTTATGAGGAGGCAGATTTGCCTCAGAAAAGACTGTATGCACAATAATACTGTACATAGAATTCTTCAAAATGGACTTGGCTCCCTGGAATGAGGACCTTCTCATTAGAGGTAACTAATTAGAATCAATTGTTTGTGGTCCAGCCTCTGATGGCAGATTATACTCACTGATCCCCAAATGCCTCCACCCAAAATGGTGTTTACTTCATGGACAAGTGTAGGTTTGTTTTTTCTCTATCTAATTGATTAAAATAATGACCTATGAAAGCCAGGTAAGAAGAGGTGGCCGCTGCAGATATGGAATGCTGAAACTTTATTCTGTGATACCTGGTGCCTGAACTACTTTTTCCTTAAAGACAATATAGAATAATATTGAAATGTTTTCGCTTTTTTTTTTTTGGAAATGGCTGCTTCAAATGCAAAGAAATCTTATTTTAACCAGTCCTTGTCTCAAGGAAGATAAAAAAATGTATTGAACATAGACCAAGGCCAACCAGCCTCTGCCTCAATTTATTCCTCTCACATCTGAAAATTGGTTGTTTCAGTAGGAAAATACAAATAGCAGAAAACACAAAGTTTTTGTAAAGGTTCATCAAGTTTAAGACAAAGCTTTGATGCAATATACGGTCAAGAGATAAATTGTAAATAATTATGTTAAAGGTAAGAGGAGGACCCACATTTTGCTATTAAAGGTCTAAAAATTAAGACTTTTAAAGCAAATTTTAATGACTACAGCCAAAAAATTACCGTATCCTTAACTTTTGTCTTGTTCCATTGGTAACAGTAGAATTGCCACCCCCATAAATAGATAAAAGGACTGAAAAACAGGAAGCAACATCAAATAGTTTTAAATTACTTTGGGAAACTCCAGAAAGTGGGTGTAACATGTGTGGGCTTTTAAAAATGAATCATATTGTCCGGGAGAACATGGCAGACAGATAACAGCAACTACCAGAGGCTCTCTGAAAGACTCGGCTCAGAAGCCAGGAATGGTGCGGACTAAGGAGACATAAGCAGGTGGAGATATGCTCTGCTGACTCAGGAACGAACTGGGCTGAGAGAAACCACCTTGGAATGCAGTCCTGGTGCTAAAACAGGAACAGAAAAGCATCGGTGTGGAGGCTGGACCCCGCGCCATTGTAAGCCGCGATTTGGTTTCCCGCCGCACTGCGGCTGGCTGCCTCTACAGTGGCCTGGCAAGGAGAGAGACGCGCAGAAGCTCTGAGAACGGCAATCTGCGAACGGCAGGAAGGTGTGCACTGACTTGTGGTGAGGTGAGTGAGAGAAACTGACACTCTACCACAGTTTGACTCCAGCAGAGGACTTTCTGGGCCCGAGCAGTCCTGCGGGAGCAGGGCGCGGGTGGTGACTCCAGCCACACATCCCCCTCTCGGGCGGGCTTGGTGAAAAGTGCCTGGCCTGCGTGACGCTGCCGGCGGACCTGGTAGGCTGTCCCAACCCAGATCCCAGAGTCTGACGGTGGCCGGGAGGGGAGAAGCCAAGGCTGCCTGGTCCGTAACTAACTGGTGCGCAGCGGTGAGCGGGAACACCTAACTGGCGCAATTCGATCAGGCTGTGGCTGACTGGGAGAGAAGCTGGGCCTCTTATATAAGCTTGCACATATAAGGAACAGAGAAGAAGAGGCAGCATGGGAAGAGGCAGCAACAAGAAAGGCTCCTCGGCCCCCAATTCTGAGAAACAGGCAATAGCAGACACCGCACCAATACACATACGGCACCATATAGAGAGCCTCATAGACCAATTCAGGAATGAAGTTATCAACGACCTGAAGCTAGAAGTATGCAGAATAGTTAGAGAAATGCTAAGTACCACCCAAGAAAAAACAGGTGGTGGAATGGAAGAACAGAAAAAAAGGGGAGAATTGTTTGAGGGAGAAAACAGAGAAAGCATAGAATACGTGAAGCAGGTTCAAAGGGACTACCAAGATACTAAGAAGTCTATAGAAGACTGGCATAACAGCTTGAAAGAAACTAAAGACAGACTATCTGAACTGGAGGGCAGACTTGTAATATGGGAGAATGAAATGAAAAACTTCTTAAAAATAACAAAGAAACAAACAGCAATAATACAAAGACAAGAAGATGATAAGAGGATCCATAACTTAAGGATTAAGAACATAAAAGAAGAAGTAGGGACACAAACAAGTGAACTACAAAAGCTACTCACAGAAATAATCCAGGAGAATTTTCCTAATTTAGCAAAAGGTAAAGATACTCAGATGTATGAGGCATACAGGACCCCAGCTACCTACAACCCAAACAGAGCAACACCCAGGCATATAATAATAAAAATTCCAGAAATTCAATACAAGAACAGAATATTAAAAGCTGTCAGAGACAAGAAACAGACCACTTACAAGGGAACACCCATCAGAATTACAGCAGATTTCTCTGCACAAACCATCAAATCACGAAGAGCATGGGGGGAAATAATTCAAGCTTTGAAAGATAATAATCTCCAGCCAAGATTGAGATATCCTGCACAACTGTCCCTGGAAATTGATGGAAAAACAAGGTGCTTCCAGGATAAAGAGAAACTGGGGGAATTTGCAACCACCAATTCAACCCTACAGAAAGTATTGCAGGATATTCTAAAAAAAGAAAAATACAAAGAACCCAGAAATAGTGGCGGGGAGGCCACAACGAATAGAGCAGAGAACAAAATGAAGAAGACAAACTGACAGCTACTGACGGGAAAAGAGCTCAACAGAAATGAGACAGAGAAGATTGGATGATAGGAACAGCTATTTTGGAGAAAATGACATCTTAATAGGTAATACTGATTTAGTATCATCTTGTTTTGAAGTCTCACCTAGCTTTTGTCCTTCTGTCTCCAATGGTCTAAATAGGCTGTATCTTATTGGATTTTATTATGTACGATAGTATAAGCAAAAACCTTTTAAAGACAAGGAGATTATACAGAAACCATTGTTCATTTTCTGTTAGTCGATTCTAAATACTCTGTAATGCTGTCATTCTCTTGAATGGTTTTACATTGTTTTGATATACTTAATGCTACAGTATACGAAGTTGTACTCAAGGATTTCAAAGAGACAATATGGTAACTACTTTTAGGTTAGGATTATCTGGTGGTGAAACACTATTCTGCTTAAATGGTTATGTTTTGATCTGCGCTGTTTTGTTGTTATGCCCTCTTTTATCTCAATCTCCACTCCACTATTTACTTTTTTATCTTTATCCTTTTAATTAAAGGAAAAAAATAGCAGGATATATTATAGTAACCCACTTTGACTTTTCATTACCTTGATTTAAAGCCCTGTATTACTCTCACCATCTGGTTTTTAACTGATGTTCCCCTATTCTGTTTTGCTGGATAGTATCAGGTTCGAAAGTTTAGGCATCAGCTGTGAAGATAATGAGATTCATTATGACGCCCATTCTTGTTGACTTTTATCTACTTTTGAAGACCTACAATGTTTCCAATGTTTTGGTTTTGTTGGTTTTATTCTTTACTGTTCTGTTCAATTGTATTATAACTAATGATATAGGCAATTCTATTAGAGATAGCGGGAGGCATTATGGTAACCATTGTTGATCACCTTGTATTATGTTTTTACATTATCTATTATATCCACCCTTTTGACTTGACCGATTCTGTTCTGTTATGTCACATTTGGTTTTACTCTCTTCCAAAAAAGTAATAAGAACCATGGGAGCAATGAAACCCAAAATGTGTAATAGTCATGGTACAAAAGAGAGGAAAAGAAAGTGCTCCAAACTATATAACTGCATGTATATTTAAGTGTATAAGATAGAAAATGATATCACAGGATTTTACTGGATCAATGAACAGAACTGTTTGCAGTATCATTGATGGAATGTCCACTTTACAAGCTTTAATTTTGTGACTTGAACAATTATTTCTAAGATGACAATATGTAATCCATTAACTAGTGATTTCCTACTGTTCATTTTTTTTTTCTGTAAATCTGTATAACTTGTACCCTTTCCCTGCTTTTTTTTTCTTTTCTCCTTAAATAAAATTAAAAAAAAAATGAAAAAAAAATGAATCATATTTATGCAGTTGATGTACAACTACTTAATTATTTCTTACAGTTCAGCATAACATTGACTGATATTTTTACTTTTCTGCCTGTGTTTTGGTCCTTATTTGCACCGTATAACTGCTGTTATTTTGGTTCACATCAGTCCCTTCAAGCTATTCAATAAATACTTCACAAATTATGTATGAAAAAAAAGGTGACACAAGAAGAGGTGAAGGTATTAGGTGATTGTTTGGTGGTGGTGGTTGTGGTGGTTGTGGTGGTGGTGATGGTTTTTTTAAGATTAATGTTTGCTTAGTTCACCCATGGTGAGACCATTAAATATTTGATTGTTGTACAGCCAAACAAGAGAAGGTTTGGCTAAGCCCCATTCAGCATGGTTTTCCCAAAATGGCAGTGAAGGAGGCCTTTGCTGAAGGGCTACCTTGATGTTTGAAGAGTCCCTTGACCCTGCCTTTGCTCACTCATAGGGTCAGTGGCTGCAGCCCTGGATGTCTGTAGTCTACCACTTCCTACCCATATCTGCAGGCTACCCAGCCCTGATCTCCACAGCGCCTGGATAGGTCTGGCTCTTAACATTTGTAGGGCTCAGAACAAGGTCACAATTAACAATCATGTGCCACATGTTTAAATACTAGGATATTATAAATCAAGCTAACAACTGGCTGCATAGGTATGTTCAGGATCTTCTGCCTTGATGTGCTGACATTTCTGAAGACCAGGTTTAATTTAGGATTTCCAGGCTCCTTGTGTTGCCAGCCAAAAACAGGCAGGTATTAGGGAGCTAATACACCCATTTCTTCTTTCCTGCTTCTCCCATTTCCCGGTCATCTACCCTGCAGGTCCCTTGATACCCACACAACCATGATAAAACCACATATCCATTAACATTGCTCCGTAACTTCTGCTCACTTTTCAAAGACTGCAATCCATTCAAGGCAAGAAGGACCCAGCAAAAAGGCTTCTGCTGAGCCTGGAAGCTTGAGACCACTTGGGTAGGAAATTTTAAAACATTGAAGGTGGGAGTATGAATTCAAGGCAAGGTGGGAGTCCGGGGGACTGAAGGAGAGTGGCCGAAGTGTCTCATTGCCTTGAGACCCTTCCATGGAGTCTGCTGCGTGGTGGCAGTTATTTCTCTTCACACAGACACCACTCCTGCCTAAATTTGAAGGGCCAGAATGAGTTGGCATTCCCTAAAGATTGCATGCTCTGGGCAGGGCAGTAGCATGTGTAGTGTTACAATTTTGGAGGCATCTTGCCTTAAGTTTTCCTGTCTGTTCAACTTCTCCAGGCTTTGTCTTGATGCTCTCGCATGCCCCAGCTCTCGTGGTATTGCTGGGTCTCTAACTCAAGCTCTGGGTAAGGAAGCTGCCTAAAGGGTTCTCACCCATCCATCCTTTGCCTTCTCCAGATGAACTGTTCTTCTCAAATTGGTGAAAAATTGTAACATTTTTGGCAAATAATATAAAAGAATCCTAAGAATGCCTAAGGATTTGAGGGGTGTTGATGAAGTGTCAGTATGTAAATCAAAAGACCTGAGATATATATTGTCCCTTTTTTGTCCCCTCTTTGGTCACTGATTAGGCCATTTAACTTCTGTATACCTCATTGTCCCAATCTAAAAATATAAAGAATAACTAATGCCTATTTTTACTTCAGTTGGACATTTTCAGGACAGACTGTTAAGTATTTATGTGAGGAGCAATCAAAATAGCACATCATGCTCCCTTCCAGTAGAAATTCATTTTTTAAAAAAATATATTATCAAGAAATCCAATTCAGATTCCCATAAGCTGACAGAAAAGTGTAAAATCTGTTTCTAACAGATGTTGCCTATGATCCCCCAAATGTAAACATGTTTGCAAGACGATAGTGAGACAACCTGTTTACACAAGGAAGTACTCAAAAAAGCAAACAAAAAAGCATCACCCAGAGCAGTCATTGTGATCAAAGTGCCGTTGATTATTAGGGTGTAAAGGGAACTGATGACTCAACTTAGCACCACCGCGGTCTCCAGATTTCAGTTTCGTAACAGAGTTTCTTTTCAGGAATATTTTTCATTTACACACAAATCCGATTTTCTTTCTAAAATGTTTCTCGATTTTTGTCAAACCGAAATACCAGGATCCCCTCAAAGATGACTCCGATACCCAGATTATGCTCATTGTGCATAGTGCAGACACACTTCACCAATAGAGCAGAGGGTTTTGCTCCTTGGGATCCTGGTGCCTAAGGCAGAGGCAGGTCTTCCCACAGGACTCTTAACTTACTCTGCTCTTACGCATCCCCAATTAGTCAGATGCAGTATAGAAACTCTCAGACTGCTTGGTGGCAGAAAGTAACTTTCTGAATCAATCAAACTGTGGTATTTTGATCCTTTCCTATGCCTGGGTATTCTTGACAAATGCATGTTCAAATCAGTGACTCAGAGATGCAAAGTAGGTCTCTGATGCTCCCTGGCTGGAAATCAGGTTTTAAACCTGAAGCAAATTATAGTCTAGGAAAAAAAATAATAATAACAACAATTTTAATCTGTGTTAAATTTAGTACTTCTTATGTGAAAATAATGACCACTGTCCCTAAAAGTAATGTACATCAAGAGTCTGCCCTAAGTAAAAAGAGGAACTAGGTTAGCAGAGGTAAAGACTACATGAAACCTTAAGAAATCTCGAGGATGGCTCTTTTGTAAAGATTCACTCAGAACTCACTTAAGATATGGATTCCCACTGAAATAAACTTTTTAAGTCCTCTTTGAGAATGGTGAGGCTTGACCCTGTGGCTTCTTCACCTTATGATGTCTATACAAAGAGAGCTGTGAATCTGATTATTTATAACACCATTCTGTGGAAAATAGGTTCATGTTTTACCGTGGATCCTGTATTGCAAAATCTTTTCTCTCCAAATAATTACATGGGCCGTCAATAAGAGCAGCAGGAGTCGAGCCATCTCCCAGCCCTGTGACCCGCAGGTAGGGGATCACCCAAATCAAGGCAGGAAGAACAAGCAGCGTGAGCTCTTTGTATGTGCAGTGAAATTTAAGTCCTGGATTAATGGGTCTGAATTTTCTGTGCTTTACAGTACTTAAAAAAATGTTTAAGATTTCAACCCACCACAAAAAATAGATACTCAAAAAACTGTTAGCACTTATAAGCAAGATCAGTAAGTGTACATGATTAAAAAATGCAAAAAATCAATTTTATTTTCATATACTATCAATGAAACACTCAAAACGAAATTAAGAAAGAAATTCCATTTATAATGGCATCAAAAAGAATAAAATATTGAGGAATAAATTAAGAAAAGGATACTGAATTCTGTAGGACACTATGGAAGAAATTAAGAAATAAATGGAAAGGCATGCAGTGTTCGTAAATTGGGAGATTGTAATACTATCCAAACTTGTGCATATTCAACACAATCTTCATCAAAATTCCAGTTAGCTGTTTTGTAGAAATTGACAGGCTGGCTTTTAAATTCATACAAGAAATATAAAGAACCCAGAATAACTAAAATAGTCTTGAAAAAAGAAAAATTTGGAGGACTCACATTTCTTATTTTAAAAAGGTACTACAAAGCTACAATAAACAGGCAATAGAGCCCTGCCTTTTGCCATACATAAAAATTAACTAAAAATGAATCATAGGCTGAATGTAAGTACCAAAACTCTTAGAAGAAAATGTAAGAATAAATCTTTATGACCTTTGACTGATTAATGGTTTCTATAAAACCTAAAGACCTATTGGTATGACCAAGGATATAGCTCAGTGGTATAAATGCCTTCCTGGCAGCACAAGGTCCTGAGTTTAATTCTTGGTACAAAAAAACAAAACAAAACAAACAAATAAAAAAAAAAAGAAAATAGTGGTTTGACGAGAGATGAAGAAAAAAAAAGATACTTGGAACTTTATCAAAATGAAACTTACATGTTCAAAGAAAACCATTAATAAAGTGAAACCTACAAAATGGGATAAAGTACTTGTAAATCATGTACCTAACAAAGGTTGAATCAAGCATTTATGAAGAATTCTTACATTTCAACACTCAAAAAGCAAAAAATCCAATTAAATAGTGGGCAAACAATTAAGTAAGCATTTCTCCAGAAAATACATATGAATTCTAATAAGTATATGAAAAGATGTTGAATATTGTTAATCACCAGGGGAAAAAAGATTTAAAAACCACAATGTGACACTACTTTATCCAGTTTAGGATGCCCCAATTCTAAAACAGAAATTAGTAAGCATTGTTGAGCATGTGGAGACATTGGAATCCTTACATATTGCCTATGAGATTGTAAGATGGTGCAGTCATTTCAGAAAACGGTTTGGAAGTTGTTCAAATGTTAAACATAGAGTTACCATATGTCCTGGTATATATATGTTAGGGTTCTCCAAAGAAACAGAACAGAGAGAGAGAGAGAGAGAGAGAAAGAGAGAGTGAGAGAGAGTACATGTGAATGTAGGTGGGTGGATATGTATGTTTGTGAGAGAGATAGATGAGAGAGACGGGGAAAGAGGGAGAGGAAAAGAGAGGGAGGAAAGAAGAAGGGAGAGAGGAAGAGGAAAGGAGAAAGAGGAAGGGAGAGAGAGGGGAAGGGAGAAAGAGAATACATTTATTTTAAGGAATTGGCTCTCATTATTGTGGAGACTGACAAGTCCAAATTTACGTGGCAGGACAGCAGCCTGGAGACTCTGGAAAGAGTTGATGTAGCAATTTGAGTCCAAAGGCAGTTTGCTGTCAAAATTCCGTCTTCCTTAAGAAAAATCAATCATTTTTCTGTAGAACGTTCAACTGATTGAGACTCACCTACATTCTAGAAGATAATCTGCTCTACTACTGTTACAAATGTTAATCTCTTCTTTTAAAAAAATACTTTCACAGCAACATTCCGACAATATTTGACCCACGTATCATGGCATACCCAAGTTAATGTAAAAAATTAACCATAAGACCTAGCAATTCTACTCCAGACATATATCCAAG